CTGGCCGTACTACTAGGAGCAAGACGCTACTAGGAGCTCCTGGCCCTGCTACTAGGAACAAGACGCTACTAGGGGCCCCTGGCCTTACTACTGGGAACTAGAAGCTACTAGGGGTCCCTGGCCTTACTACTAGGAACAAGAAGCTACTAGGAGCTCCTGGCCCTGCTACTAGGAACAAGAAGCTACTAGGGGCTCCTGACCCTACAACTAGGAACAAGAAGCTACTAGGAGCTCCTGGCCCTACTACTAGGAACAAGAAGCTACTAGGAGCTCCTGGCCCTACCACTAGGAACAAGAAGCTACTAGGAGCTCCTGGCCCTACCACTAGGAACAAGAAGCTACCAGGAGCTTCTGGCTTTACTACTAGGAACAAGAAGCTACTAGGAGCTCCTGGCCCTACTACTAGGAACAAGAAGCTACAAGGTGGAGGCAAGCGCTATTAGGTTGGAGGCGCATGCGGGGTTATATTATGTTCCTTCATTTGCGATGTTTTTATTGCCGCCCCAGCGGCACTAACTCTCAAGATCCGCGCATCTCTTCACAAAGGAGGTGCATTATTTGTTTGGCTGCTAGTAGCTTCTTGCTCCTAGTGGTACGGCCAGGAGCCCCTAGTAACCCTAGTAGCGTCCTTGCTCCTAGTAAGGCCAGGAGCTACTAAGATGGCAGCAAATAGCTCTTCAATCCAAGTGTGCAAGCAACAGTCCGCTCGGATTAAACGCGCCTAAACATACCGTCGCTCATTGCAATGCTAGCCACCTGGGAACACAACTTGACTTGCGATCGGTTCTCTCGGTTTCTAAAGCAGCAGCCTTCTTGACTTGCACTTCATTGGATTCTGCTAGTTGTGGACACCTGATCATTCGCACAATTCCCACCAATTAAATTGGAGCGCCATTCCTACAGCTTGGTTCTTTTTCCCGAGCGCAATATGGCGCATCGATTCGCATCAGGCAAGCATTTATCTCTGCTAGCGATTTGTGATTTGCAATTTGTGTTGTTGTCAAGGCCAAAATCTATCATTTGCAGGCTGGAGATGTGGCAAAACGCTTAAAACCTCGTCTTCCTCCACCACCTTTGGCTGGTTTTTGCCTTGGCGGAATTGGCAAGAAAAGTGTGTTTTTCTTCCAATGTCATTGAGTCGTTTACAGTCGTTTACAGTCGTTTCTTGTTTATCTCTGGTTGGTTCATCACAAATTCGCTGTCACATGGGTCAGACGACCGGGACAGCTCATTTTGAGCGACCCAGGTTTGACAGAAGATGAACTGAGAAGCTTGCTGCCAGGCTCAGCTTGCGTTTTTTCTCGGATTCAGCTTGCGCTCCAATGGGGAACAGAATTTCAGCTTGTGCTCCAGAAACAGAATTGAAACTTCTTTTCAAGCTGTTGAAATTTTCTTGGTTTCCTTCGATGCTGGCTCGCCACGCGAGACCCGACAACTTGAACACGAGATTGACAAGATAACTTCAGGGGACACATGTGTCACACATGATGTGTTGCAGTGACTGATGTCTATTGGGAATCGTTGCACCTGTAACAAAGAAGCTACCAGGAATGAACGATTGCACATTTGTTACACATGGGTTACAGTTGCTAATAGCTTCTTGTTACTACTAGTAAGGCACCTGTTACTACAAGCGATGCACTTGTTACTAATAGCTTCTTGTTACTACTAGTAAGGCACCTGTTACTACTAGCGTGGCACTTGTTACTAGTAGCTTCTTGTTACTACTAGCAAGGCACCTGTTACTACTAGCGTGGCACTTGTTACTAGTAGCTTCTTGTTGCTCAGTTGGTGAAGCATTTCTTCGAATAGAAGAGCGGACAGCTCTTCGTCTTCCAGAGCCCGGGCCCTGGTCGGATCTACCGATCTACACACAAAGATTTGTGTTTCTTTCTTTTTCTTCTCTTTTACTTAGTGTTTCTACTAGCTTCTTGTTACTAGTAGTAAGGCCAGAAGTCCCTAGTAGCGTCCTTGCTCCTACTAAGTACTTTACTTTTTCTTTACTTGTCTTTCTTTCGACCTCTTTCTTTTAGGCCAGTCGATTACTTTTCCATTGATGTTTGGGAGGACACGTCGACGAGAAATCGACGGACAAACTCGAACCTCACAGACACGTCAGGAGCGATCGAATTGGCTGAACACACAAAGGAAGCTTCTGGGCCAGTGCTACTCGGACGATCTAATTAGCTGTTCGAAACTTAAGCGGCTTCGCCTTTCAACCTGCTTTGGAGGCCACCGCTAGCAGGTTGGAGGCCATTGCTAGTAGGTTGGAGGGCCATGGCTCGTAAGTTGGAGGCCATCACTAGTATCACTGAAAGAATCCAGCCCCTTGAAACAGAAGGGTGTTCAATCGGATACGTTTTGATGGTATTCAGGATTGAGTGGAATGAATTGGGTTTTGAGATTCCTACAATGTTTTAATGCGAAAAGATTGGGGAAAATGCAAAATAGATGTGAAAATGAAGAAATCCTTTAAAACACACATGCAACTTATAAATGAATCAACTTATCTCAAATTATCTCCCAAAATATATCAATTTACCTCACGGTTAAAGAACAAAATTTCATAGAACAAATAACAAGATTGAAGTCACGTAGTGATATCGCTTTATAGTCCTGTTAGAGCAGGGAGTGTGTTCTCGACCGGTTCAAAAAATGATGTGACAAAGAGTTGTCGCATGGGCGCTCGTATGCATGAGATGATTTGAGCATGTGTGATACATGCGGATGTGTATGTGTTTTATATTTCACCCATAATGATCAACGATATAAGAACATGCGCATGTGTATGATTTCTCATGCGCCCTACGTTTCACTCAATGATGTATCACGAAATGTTGTCTGACGCAGTATGGGCTGTGGAGGTGGGGATCCGTTGGTAGAATCCTTCCATTTTTGCATGAGTGCGCTGCGCGTCGCAAGGGTCTTGCTGCCCTAGAAGCCTGGGACCGACACCCACAAGACATTCCTTTTCCGCTGCCTGTTGGTGACATTCTTTGACAGTGCAGATCTCACACTGGCCGTGACTGCATACAGCGAACAGTTTAGCCTTTCTGCATACACTGCCAACGCCCCCATTGGCCTTGGCATTAAGCTCTGTCAGTGATGAATTTTCCTCTGAAGCGGACTAGGGATAACGAACAGGATTCTACCACGGATACATCACATGCCGAAACGCTACGGGATGAGTCACTTCATTTGCACCTTTTGTCGTGCCAGAAGGCCGCGAGACACACTTTCTCAAACAATTTGCGAATGCCTTGGGAGAATGTCTTTGTAGGACCTTTGGAGAATGTTGAAAAGAAGTTTGAGGTGCCTAAACCTGTGAAAGAACTCATCCCTATTGCACGTGCAGTGGGGGCCAAGACGGGTGATTTTTGTGCCAATCTCTCCGAATCTGCGTTCAAGAAGGCTGGCTTGAGAGTCCTCAAATCGTGTGATGAACGGTTGTGGAGCGAAAGACTTTCTGCCGGACGCAAGGCGGCTGTTAGGAAATGGACGACATTAGTGGTTTCAGAACCTTCTGCTTGGGACATTGCTATTAGGCACTTCTCGGGTGGAAAGATGATGTTCGACCCGTGTCCGTTGGCTGAGAGCATTAAAGACGCTTTGTCATCCAAGGCTTCGAGCACACGGCAAAGCCGTGCAAATCCGTTGTTCAGATTCATGGCATTCTGCAATCAATCAGGTTTGAAGGCGTGGCCAATTATGGAAGCTGCAGTGTATACTTTTCTGAAGAGTCGAGATGACTTTGCTCCTACTTTCCCCAGGAGCCTCCTCGTCTCGATCTCGTTTGCCAGGCATGCGCTCGGACTCAGGGGCGAGATCGACTTGACCATGTCAGGAAGAACGAAAGGCGTGAGTCATGCGTGGTTTGTGAGAAAGAGGAATCTCTTGCAGAGACCGCCGTTGAGTGTGGCCCAGCTGACACGTCTTGAAGACATCGTTGGGGACGAACGCCGAGCCCCACAAGATAGGATTGCAGCAGGCTTCTTTTGTTTCGTGGCATACAGCAGGTCTAGATATAGCGATGCACTCAACGTGACAGATTTGAAGCTGGATGTTGTGGTAGTGAACGGAAAGAAGCCTGGTTTCATCGAGGCGCAGACGAACAGAGTAAAGACAAGTTTGACGCTTCAGAAGAAGACCATGTTCCTTCCGATCTCGGCTCCGATCAACTCAGTTGCTGGTTCGGATTGGGCTTCGACTTGGGTGCGACTGCGAGCATCCGAAGGGCTGCACACTGGGAGCGGGAAACGCGAGTTTGTGGCTTAGGAGTCTCCTCGAAGGCACGGACGGTCCAGAGACTGGCGGCTTGGGTACGCACTCGTTGAAGGCGACGTTGCTTAGCTGGTGCAGCAAGTATGGTCTTGATGTTGTCACTCGAAGGGCTCTTGGGTATCACACGTCATCTTCTGACAAGAGTGTTTACACATACAGCAGGGATGCGATGAGTGGGCCTTTGAGAGAGCTTCAAAGAGTGCTTGACGAGGTTGCGCGCGGAAGCTTTCGTCCGGACGCTACTCGATCCGGGTATTTTGTTGATGTAGATGGCAGAGAAAAGAAACAGTGTCCCGAAGACATCTTTGAGGCATCTTCGAGCGAATCCTCGGCAGACGAGGACGAGCGTGATTTCGAGAAGGAGGAGGCTGCGTAGATGAGGCACTTGGCGATTGGCAGTGTGATGGGCCTGCATGTCCTTCGTCGCTTGCCGTAGTTTATTTTCGACATGCCACCAGTAGATGCATTCATGTGTTGAGGCATGAAAGCGGGACCGATTTCCTGTGCGGTCGAAAGATCTCCGGATCTTATGAAAGGTTGGAGAGAAAGCCCAAATTCCTCCACCCCATGTGCTCAGCATGTGAGCGTGGCATGCGTGGATGACGCACGCGGTATGAGTGAAAAAGGCGAGGGCCTGCTTCATTTCGATTTTTCACGATGAACTCTCAGATCCTGGAGACATTGACGTTTCATGTGATCCGAAGAGATGTCTTCGTCGGTTCTTATGTGCGTTCTCTTTCAATTTTTTTTCTTCGTCATGATTGAACGCAATTTGTTTGCTTGAAATGTCAAGTGCAGTCAAGCGCATGTGTTTCGATGGAAACCATGACATCGTGATGTACGGTTGAGGCTCAATGGAGCGAGTGTCGATGTGGATGCATGATCATGTCATGATGTGACATGTATATAGGAACCACACATATGAGAGTTCTCAAAAGAATGTCTGATGTTTACCGTTTTCCCGTTTCATGTGACATGGAAAACACGTGCATGTACTTTTGTTCACTCAGGGAGCGACCATGTCCGTGGTCGATTCTGAAGCGGTGTTCAAGAGCCGGGCGAGCGCAATTGGACTTTCAGAAGAAGTGCAGAAACTTTTGAAAGATGCTGGCATAGGCACATTGGGAAATTATGCATTCGCCTCCGCATATGTTCCAGGTAGCTCGGATGACAAGCTATTTTTGGAATTAGTCAAACAGGCACTGAAACGTGATCCCACTCTAGGTGAGTTGGCGGGTCTTCGCAGGTTGTTCAACGAAGCATATGCTGCAACTTCAGCGGAGATGAAGTCCATGGTGGAACAAAGTGATGAAGTGCCCGTTACAAAATTGCCTCCTGCAGAACGAGCGGAACGATACCGTGAGCAGCAGACCAGACTTCGTGGCATCACCATTTCCGGACAACTCGAGCCAGGGATAGTTTGATTGATGCAGCCGTTGCCATTTACGAAGCTGATCGCCTCAAGCACCTTTCTTGGGAAACATGTGTATCTAGAGAGCGCGAGATTGTCACTTCCACTAAGAAAGATAACACGCTTTCGTTCGATGCAGGTGGAAACCTCAAGTTGGCCAAACGCGACTCGGTCGTCCCTTGTGAAGCATCCACTGACTTGCAGGTGAAGTATTGTTTGACTCGCAGGGGTTTGGCACTGGAGCAAGGCAACATCATGTCTTTCGCGAATCATGAAGCTTGGTCGGAGAAACTTTTTGCATGTCGTTTGAAGGACACACCACCTGGATATGCCACATGGCCTCAGTCCGCATAGCATAACAGCGCAGGAAAAAAACCAAACACAGTCATACAACAATTGAATCTGAATCCAATGAATCAAAGGCGGTAAAAGTATGCAGCAGCTGATTGAGTCCAGCTGGCGTTAGGCATGGCAATGCATCACTATCCGCCTTGATGACTTGCATATGACCCAAAGATTGCGAAGTGTTCACGACACTCAAGTCTGTATGAGTGGCAGCCAGCAAGTTCAGAGCCTACGGGTCGAACACACAAATCAAAACATGTAGCCCCAAGGGTTCCACAATATCAGTTCACAACTTGGTAGGTTTAGCGTGACTTAGCCTCCGCTTCTCTGTAACTGGTCAGCTGTGCCGCTGCAGCCGGGCACTTCTTGGCAAAGAGTCTCTCAGAGTTGACTTTCCGCACACTGACCTGCAACAAATAGGTGAACAAGCAAGTTAGACTTCTTGCAGAACAGAAAACACAAACACACACACACACACACTTCTCACCTTCTTCTCTTTTGCCCAATCGCGGTGGTGTTGGATCCACTTTGCATTCTTGTTAATTGGCCTCAAAAGTGCTTCAAACAGGTTTTTCATAGTTATATCAGCTGAACAAGTGGCACAGTGTTTCATTTTAAGTAGACTGATATGTATTCTCCAAGATACTTGCGTTTTCCCTTTCGAGATTGACGCTTGCGCTTGTCCCTGACAACTGCAGGATGTTCAGATGGAAGCAATAGGTCAATCCTCAGCGAGTGGGAATGGGTTGCGGTTGGGGAGACCATGAACCAACGCATCACTGCCTTGACAACTTGATGACCACTCAAAAACAAGACAAGAAACCAAGAACATGTGGGTTGTGTTTTCATGGAATCCAGCTTGCTCTTGATATAATCACCAATGTCTCCTGTATTCTTGGCCTCATCAGAAAGAACGCCGTCCCGGATCATTATCACGTAGATCCGCTTCCGGAAGATGGGCGATCCATAACAAAGCCTAAGATGCGATGAACGAACGGTTTGTTTTCATATTATTGTGCTAATCGATGCCGTGCAAATGAAGCACGGATTGAGCTTCACATAGAGCAACTCGTACCTTAGATCCCCGCTCCAACTAAAGGTAGGGCCACGCCAAAATGAACACACAAT